TCTTTTTAACCTAGTCTCAGCAACTTTGTCCATAGCTTGCACATCCTTTCCACCTCCATCTTCTTCCCAGGCTTCTTAAAAGCCAGCCTAAGAAATACGATTTTATATTGCCCAATAAATTAACTGCCATTTTCAAAAGTGTTATCATCCAAATTCATGCAGCGTGGCTAAATTAAGAATGAATTACAAACCCTAGCTTCCTTGCTAATATGATTAACAGCGAAATACTATCATAGTGGAGGTGTCAATTACTGCTAAAATAGCTCATGTGAACCCTGATACTGAACTATGTATTATCAAAACAAATGATCTGATATTACAAAGAAAACTAATTATTGCTTTTTACAGTATTAGCCCAGAGTGATGTAAGCAGGGTGGTTAGTCAGCCATAGCTTTTTCACATCTTAATCAATGTTGTTGTCAAGTGTGTCTCGTATACACTATTATCTCAGTCACAGTACAGCATCTATGAATCAAAGTAGATACACAGTAATGCAAACAGCAGGCAGTCATGTTTGTGTCGTCACTGTTTTGACTGAGGCTAGCTCATACATGGAATGCAAGAAAATGCTGCATGTGTGTGCAGATCCATGCACTGCTTAAGCTTCCCTAGTTTAACAAATGGTGAGAACAAACAGAAGTTTCAGCATTTGCTGCATTGCCAACATTTTAAAGATGCTTTTGTCCCCCGCTGTACCTCCTCCTTCTCACTGAGGCTTCGAGACAAACCGTTCTGCTGCTGCAAGGCCATTGATACTGTTTTATAGATCTCTGGACCCTGTAGACGAGCGCAACCACAGAAATAAATCACAGGAATAAATGTGAATGATATTGCCTACACTGGACAGCAAAACCCAGGTGAGGATTATCTAATGCCAAATTTCCAAACAATGAAAAAATCGTGTCCTTTTTCTCCCCATGTATAGTGTAGAGGTCAGCGAATGCCGCTCGGATCTGCTGCACAGCTTGAGGCTGGTCTGGGAAGAACCTCTCCAGGACTCCAGGTCTGGCGAGCACTTGCTGAACCTTCTTGGAACCAGCCAGGTAAGCCCTGATATCTGGACACTTCACAGCTCGAGAGCGCTCCATCAGACGACGAGCATCCCAGCTCTGCAATTGAAACAGACAATGAATTCTCTGCTTGCAAGCACACCAACCAGCAGAGCGTGACAATAGTTGGTTTATATTCCGCTGAGATTTGACAGACAGAGACAGAAGAATGAAGGACAACAACACAGAGTCACGCTATCAAGGAGAACTTGGACGCTAGATTCAGCAGTTTGGCTTGAACTTGCAAACTGTTTTAACTTGTTATGTCCGATACTTTCCTTCCAGGCTGCTCGGCAGTTTTCTTTCACTTGTTTCCTGTTCCTGCCAGCAGAATGCACACACAGCTGCAGTAATACACACAATGTTGCAGAGAACATGGAGCAGCAACAAACATGTGTTGGTCTCTAATCACCCATTCAAACTGACATAGCGACAGAGGTCTGTTGTCACTTATATCAGCCAATCAGGCTAGACTTGGTGTTGCTAAGCAGGGAAGAAATAAACTCAATGATAATGACGTTCCAGTTTCTCATGAATACGAATCACTTTAAGCAAGTCTGCAGGTTTCATTTTAGTGTTTTTAATTAAACTCTTTGATGTAATCATCCTGAGTGCAAATCAAAAGTTGGACCTGTTCAGAAGTGTAGTTGTCAGGCATGTAACCGTTCCTGAAATACACCACGGTGACCTGTTTGCTGTCCCTGAAGTGAAAGTGACACAAAGACACATTAATCCATGTCGACACACAGCGACCTCCACTTCCTGGAAGTCTCTCGTGCTGCTGTCCACTGGAATCCCCATGGTGCCTCTTCCCAGTGTCTATGACATGTAACAAATATAATAAAATAGCAAGGAATTATAAAGTAAATGACAAGATTTTCCATTTAGTTTAATTTAACAGTAGTCATTTTGCAGAAGACAGACATTTGGTTACTATAGTAAAAACTATTATGTCAAATTAACCAAAAAGAAAAGAGTCAACAATGCAGACACTTGGCTGTCTTCAGCAACAAAAACACCATCAAAAAGTCACAGTCATCAGAGCAACATCGGAGAAACAATAAAGTCTAACCATGGAAGGTATATAGAAACATATGCATAAAACACAAAAACAAATAACATCAACAATGAGCACCTTTAGTTTGCTGAAAGTGATATAGCTTTCTGTTCCATCAACTGAAAGCGCCAACATTTCAGGTGAGCATGCTGGGCAGCTGAAGCTGACATCACAGCACAGCTGCTCTTCTACATCAAGAAGCTGTGCTGCACTGCATCGCTGTTGGCATGCCCAGTCTGTACGTACAGAATATAACAGAGAAATAAATATTGCATCTGCTTATTGAAAAACAATATCAAGAATACTTCACTCACCCTTCCCCACACTTAGTACCACACTCCAACAGTTTTGCAAAAGCTTCCCTGGAGAATCATGGAGAAAATACTTTTAGTTCCTGGAAAGAGCTCAAGGGTCTAAGTGTAAAGAGTAGACATGTTGACAGATGCTGGCCAATATCCACTCCTAATCAGGTCCTTTAACTCAGGGCTGCACTGCTGCTGCATGTTTGACATCTGTATGTCGCCTGGTGCACATCATAACGTTCTTGGACCAAAAGAAAATAAACAACATGACTAATAAATCACTGCCTTCACAAATGACTTCTATTAATGCAATACCATGTTCTGATTGTACAGCAAGGGCAGAAAACATGCTTCATCACACTATGTTCAAATCCATCACCCTAACCTAAATAGCAGGTTGCTGTTTACTATTAATGTTGATTAAAATCACTATTTTTCCTGCTGACACTGTGAAGTTGACTCTACATAAAACTACTGATACAGTACCTTGAGTCGGAGCCTGAGGCTGGGATCAGACAGCAGATGAATGCAGCGCTCCGTAACATCCTTAGTGATGCTGAGGTGGGAGGGAAGCTCTGCTTTCACATCAGGACTACCAATATCTTCCACATCCTCACACTCAGTGGGAGGGACCTCTGCAATGGCAGCACATGTACAGTTAGACCGCCAGTTTAGCAGTGAGGTTCAGATTTCTATGACTCTTAATTACAATGATCCATCTCCTCTACACTCTGAATCTAATCTCACCACCACTACAACCTATAGCTTATATTCCACTGGCCGTAGACAGACCTATTACCTCGGTCTTCAGTGTCATCATCCTCTATTCCAAAGCTCTCTGCCAGTTCTTTCTGTTTGCAGTAATCAGCAGGAATTGGCCAATGCTGAGGTCTCCTGGTCACTGGAGCTTTGCCTGGAGCTGGCAGACTTACTGGTCCCGCTACAAGTGGAAGGAAACCACCTCGCTAAAGGAAAAACAAGACAACAATATGAACATAGGCTTGGTTACAATAAAATAAGTCAGTTGATCAAAATCAGTGTGACACAGACAATGATGTTTTTGGAAAGAGCCCATTAGTGACATTTAATTTATACATTTTTACTGTGAGGGCTTGTAAACTTCTGTATGAATATTATTATGAATATTAATTCTACAACAGAAAACGACTCAGCATTTAAACCATCACGATGTATTAAATGTTTCCAAGACACTGATAATTTGATAACAAGCAAAGTTATATATCCTGAAATGTACTCATTGATAGAAACTTTGAAAGGCAACACAGAAAAATGCGGTAGAGAATGCCTTGAGTCACATTTTCTTCCTTATCCTCTTTGACTCCCAGTATACGTGAGACTCAAGCTGACATCACTGTTGAAATCTTACCCAGTGCCTTCATGAGCGCGTGCAGCACGGAGCAGAAAGAGCAGCTGTGTGCTCGTAGCTGAGATCCAGAGCCGTCAGCACATCCTGAACGATGTCCCGACCACGGGCTGCAGTCAGAGTGAGTCAACATAACTGTCAACACCCGTGGAGCCTGGCCAACAAGACAGGATTACAATGAAATACAGTAAAAGCTCAGGGACGCACAGGCTTAAGCAGACAAAGAAGGAATCGGGTAAACCCTCCAGCACTCATTTCTGTGTCCATTTTGGGCTAAAAACAAAAACACCTCATAACTACCTGTGGATGCTGGCTGAGCCTCTGAAGGTTGAGTGATATGTCATTAAGCAGGTAGTCAGAGTTCTCATTGATCAGTTCCTTGAGGGAAGTGTATCCACAGGCCTTACTGATGTCCCACATGGAGCATAGCGCCGCCTGGCTCACCAGCAGTGTCTCCTCACCAGCTTTCTCCAGCACAGGATACAGCGAGGCCATCAACAAGGGACGGAAATTGCGGCCCACTGGCTGAGCACAGCAGGCGATTCCCCGAGTTGGATGCACAGCTGACAGATGTTGCTGTTGAGCTAATGGATCATGGATGCAGATGTTGATGATGAAGGAATCACTTGGAGAGAGCTTGTATTGAGTTGCTGGCATCACTGTTGTATATCGAGGGGAGTCTGGATGGACCGAGCAGCTACGCAAAGAGACAAAACCTGTGTTAAAGCACTGCTTTCTAACCACTTTTACACATGCACTGCAGCTCTGAAGTTTCAAGATATTGTCCATGCACGTGAGAACGCAAATGTCTGACACAGTTAGATCAAACATTAAACAGCCTTTAGCCTTCCTGCTCCTGAGTGAAAGCCTGTATATATCTGACTGTGCTCATGTGGGGATAAGACAGATTAGCCTTTTCTCAAAGTGAAGAGTGGGGCCAATTTAGGATCTTCACTCAAATTTAAAATACAAGGGAAACTGATGTATTCCTTAAATAAACAAAACCACACAAGCGCTTATAAAATGCTCATCCTACCCAGTCATATGCAAAGTGTTAGAATCAACGTGTGATCCACCTGCCACTAAGAGATATTATTTCTCTTTGGTAGATGGAAAAAATGGAATCAAACTCACTGTCAGTAGCTACAACAGCACATTTGTTATAATTTTCAAAGAAAACTAAAAGTGTATAAGCAACCAAGGAAGTGCTTCTTGGGCTTCCCCTCTGGGTCCTTCAGGAGAAAACAAAAACTGTTACCTAAATATCAATGCTTTGAATACATTATTGTGTGGTCCACGTTCATGCACTCACAGTGATCTGCACTGCCAGCAGTCCCTCACCTGCATCTTTGGCATCAATGGTGACCTTCACTGGCAGAGAGGTGGGCGCTCCAGTGGTGTTAAGGCCGGATCCACTTGCACGCACCTTGCTGGTATCATGGGTGGGCAGCACCTTCACCTTGTAAGGGCGGACCAAAGGGGAGAGAAGACAACTGGCTGTGGAATACAGTCTCACAAATGAAAGGAGCCTTATTTACAGAACCGAGTAAACCACGCAAAGAGTTTTCCATTTTCAAAGCTGGCCAGAGTGGAACACTGTAACATGTAACACCTAGAAGGTTCAGATGGCTGCAGTACTTTGCTAATTTGGATCAAAAGTTTGGGGGGAAAATGTAATTAAATCAAGTGATTGTAATGCTGTTACTTCCGTTGTGTAGTTAACCATCTATCATTTTAGATGTTTCATTAGCAGCCTGATGAAATTAGCTGTGTAGTTAGCCGACTTCTGCCATCCAAACAGATGAGGTGAATTATGCAGATCACTAGCACAGTACACAGATTACCACTTCTTATTCCAGCCAGACTTCAGGTACTTCATTCGAATCATGCAGTAACAACAAAGATTTATTACTACTGGCTTTTTAAATTGTGCTTCTTCTGTTCTAGAAAAACAGAAACATGTGATCACAGGGTTTTGTTTTTTTCAATGACATTTGTGTTGGTTGTGTCGGTTGCAGGCAAACATTTATCATAATGGTTAGATATTAGGAAATAGCTTAAAATGTGTGCATATTTAACTTGTTGCACTGCCGTAGTGTTACCTGCGTGGGATCTCCTCATGAGCATATGACTGTACCCTGGATGATGATATGTGAGGAGCTTGAACTTGATTCGCTAACAGAAACTAATTTGGCTAGCTTAGCGCACATGTCTTGTGGCAAGATATATGCACTTAAATGTTTTAAGTCATTGGCTGTTCTGCCAAATTGCCACCAACCTGCAACTTTGTGAGCTGACTGTTTCGCCATTTTTGTGTTTTAGACAACAAAAAAAAAGAAAAGATGTACAGATCCAGGCTTTTCCTTTACTGTGGTAGTCGCATAGAATGACGTCACTGACACTGGTTTAATATGAAAACAAACTTTGCAAAAAAAAAAAAGAAGAAGAAGTGAGTCGGCGTGTCATCTTTATCGAGCACCATACATGTTTTGCCTCACATTAAAATTATTACTTTTCCTTTTCAAAAATAATTTGTATTCAGAGAAGTCAAATATACCAAATTTGTACGCCTTCCACGGCCGCCAGGTGGCGCAGAACACTTGCCGGCCCTGGCAACTTGAAGCACAGACAGGCGCTGGTTCGAGTCGAGGCTCGAACACCTACACACTCACTCACACACTCACTGACTTCAAATCCTCTCTGTGTCTTCAGTCTGCTAGGGGGATTCCTGGTCTGCGCAGGGAATCCCAATCCTTTTTTTTTCTTTTCTTTTTTGGGCTGTTGGGGCCTGTATTTACAAAGCTGGGACTATCTCCGTTGTCATGGCTACCAAGAACAACGCCAGCTTGGGGGAGAGCGGAGAGCCGATAAGCAAACACTCATTCATCCTTTCTCCTCTTTCGTTTCACAGCTGCTGCGGTGGGAAACGCTGGCACTTGTGTGGCTATGCAGTTTTTGCATTGTTGGCAACTTTTAAGGACCAGCCTTGAATTTTACACATTTGATAAGTGAAGCCTGGATATATAGTGAAGAGAGCTGGGATAATCTGGACAGAATCTGCAGGCTGCATCTCCAAATCACAAGTGGCTTTAGATCTGACTCTTACAGACAGGCATGCATGTCTTAGGGTGATTACACACTAACACATTGTGATTAATCACACACATTTGTATACATTTTATTAACAAGATAATAAAAAAAAAACATTATACAAAATGTGTTTTTGTGACAGGCCGCTAGTAACAAAGTGCTCAAAGATTTCAAATTGGTTCTTTCCCAAGTTTTCTGTTATCTGTACACATATTCCTTGAATTAGGTGCTTTTTAATTCTCCAATAATGGTCAGTGCAAAGTGTTTACACAAACAAACAAAACAAGTCTTTACACAAACAAACAAACAAACAAAAAACATTACTCAGAAAATGGTCAGGTACAAGAACTGGATTAAAAAGGATTGGAAAAAACAGATAATGTCCAATGAAATACTTCAGCGTGTGGCTCATGACTTTTGCACAGTACTGTAAATGTTATTAATAATGAAAGATATAAAGATGTAGCTTTCCCATTTTTAAAAAATTCCCATACACATTATTCTTTTCTTCTAGTGAAGGTGCCTCCTCCTTCAGACCTTAGGATAACTAATTTCTCAGACAGTGACATCACGGTGCGCTGGGAAGCTGCAGATGATGATGATGTTTCTTACCTCATTAAGTGGATCTCCCTAAGTGGAGGCGACCTGAGGCAGGTGGGGAAGAACTATTGAGTTGTTGGAGTACATATTATGAAATAAAAAATACAATATCTCAATAAACTGTTGTCCTGTGTCTTAAGGAGTATCAGATATCACTGTCTGCACTCTATGGAGATGGAGCTCAGAGTGAAGCTGTGGCCGTACGCTATAGCACCTGTGAGTCACACATTTTAACTATATCAGCTGCTGGTGGGAGCAGGCTCTCATGGATCTTTCTGGATATTTGCAGCGGGGACATGCTGGGTCATTTTGGAGCAGGTTAATTTGTGTGCGCCACGTGTCATAATCAGTTTTGTTGTTAGGTCTGGGAACCTTACCGGAGAAGGTACGGAGTCTAACCTGGGACTGGATGTGTTTGACATCTTGCCTTCGTACGATATGCTCTACCACGACCTTCTGAATGTCAGGTGGATTCAAATCACTTACTGAAAGGGACGCACAGGCTTAAGCAGACAAAGAAGGAAATCGGGTAAACCCTCCAGCACTCATTTCTGTGTCCATTTTGGGCTAAAAACAAAAACACCTCATAACTACCTGTGGATGCTGGCTGAGCCTCTGAAGGTTGAGTGATATGTCATTAAGCAGGTAGTCAGAGTTCTCATTGATCAGTTCCTTGAGGGAAGTGTATCCACAGGCCTTACTGATGTCCTACATGGAGCTCAGCGCCGCCTGGCTCACCAGCAGTGTCTCCTCACCAGCTATCTCCAGCACAGGATACAGCGAGGCCATCAACAAGGCACGGAAATTGCGGCCCACTGGCTGAGCACAGCAGGCGATTCCCCCGAGTTGGATGCACAGTTGACAGATGTTGCTGTTGAGCTAATGGATCATGGATGCAGATGTTGATGATGAAGGAATCACTTGGAGAGAGCTTGTATTTGAGTTGCTGGCATCACTGTTGTATATCGAGGGGAGTCTGGATGGACCGAGCAGCTACGCAAAGAGACAAAACCTGTGTTAAAGCACTGCTTTCTAACCACTTTTACACATGCACTGCAGCTCTGAAGTTTTCAAGATATTGTCCATGCACGTGAGAACGCAAATGTCTGACACAGTTAGATCAAACATTAAACAGCCTTTAGCCTTCCTGCTCCTGAGTGAAAGCCTGTATTATATCTGACTGTGCTCATGTGGGGATAAGACAGATTAGCCTTTTCTCAAAGTGAAGAGTGGGGGCCAATTTAGGATCTTCACTCAAATTTAAAATACAAGGGAAACTGATGTATTTCCTTAAATAAACAAAAACCACACAAGCGCTTATAAAATGCTCATCCTACCCAGTCATATGCAAAGTGTTAGAATCAACGTGTGATCCACCTGCCACTAAGAGATATTATTTCTCTTTGGTAGATGGAAAAAATGGAATCAAACTCACTGTCAGTAGCTACAACAGCACATTTGTTATAATATGATGAATCAAGCATTTAGATATTAAATAGTATTGAGGGAGACAGGATCAAATACAGTGGGGCAAAAAGTATTTAGTCAGCCACCAATTGTGCACGTTCTCCCACTTAAAAATATGAGAGAGGCCTGTCATTTTCATCATAGGTATACCTCTAACTTGTCCGAGTTTTAAAGAACTGATTTGCAAATTATGGTGGAAAAGAAGTATTTGGTCACCTCATTTTTTGCCCCACTGCGTAATATACAAAGATATTTGTGGCAACTCGATGTGCTTTGTCCACTTTTATTATCGGATTGCTCTGTTAACCAAAGGGAATACCTCAGTTTATTGTATGTTTGACTATAATTTACAAAAAGACTAAAGCATCATTTCTTATCTTTTCTACAATAACTATGAAATGAACAAATGGAGAGTGCTCGCTCAAGTCATGGATCAAGTGACTTAAAGGGCCGTTTTCAAAGAAAACTAAAAGTGTATAAGCAACCAAGGAAGTGAGTCCTACCTGGCCACTGGACAACATTCAGTGACAGTGCACTTGCTGGCATCTCCGGTGGGCAGAGCCCTGATTCAGTAGGGTGAATAAGGGATCTTGTCTCCTCCGTACTTAATGAGAGTGGTGTATCTGTCAGTCATGTCTGGCACATAAAACACCAGGTAGGTCCCATCATGGCTGTCACAGATATCTGCTTCTTGGGCTTCCCCTCTGGGTCCTTCAGGAGAAAACAAAAACTGTTACCTAAATATCAATGCTTTGAATACATTATTGTGTGTCCACGTTCATGCACTCACAGTGATCTGCACTGCCAGCAGTCCCTCACCTGCATCTTTGGCATCAATGGTGACCTTCACTGGCAGAGAGGTGGGCGCTCCAGTGGTGTTAAGGCCGGATCCACTTGCACGCACCTTGCTGGTATCATGGGTGGGCAGCACCTTCACCTTGTAAGGGCGGACCAAAGGGGAGAGAAGACAACTGGCTGTGGAATACAGTCTCACAAATGAAAGGAGCCTTATTTACAGAACCGAGTAAACCACGCAAAGAGTTTTCCATTTTCAAAGCTGGCCAGAGTGGAACACTGTAACATGTAACACCTAGAAGGTTCAGATGGCTGCAGTACTTTGCTAATTTGGATCAAAAGTTTGGGGGGAAAATGTAATTAAATCAAGTGATTGTAATGCTGTTACTTCCGTTGTGTAGTTAACCATCTATCATTTTAGATGTTTCATTAGCAGCCTGATGAAATTAGCTGTGTAGTTAGCCGACTTCTGCCATCCAAACAGATGAGGTGAATTATGCAGATCACTAGCACAGTACACAGATGACCACTTCTTATTCCAGCCAGACTTCAGGTACTTCATTCGAATCATGCAGTAACAACAAAGATTTATTACTACTGGCTTTTTAAATTGTGCTTCTTCTGTTCTAGAAAAACAGAAACATGTGATCACAGGGTTTTGTTTTTTTCAATGACATTTGTGTTGGTTGTGTCGGTTGCAGGCAAACATTTATCATAATGGTTAGATATTAGGAAATAGCTTAAAATGTGTGCATATTTAACTTGTTGCACTGCCGTAGTGTTACCTGCGTGGGATCTCCTCATGAGCATATGACTGTACCCTGGATGATGATATGTGAGGAGCTTGAACTTGATTCGCTAACAGAAACTAATTTGGCTAGCTTAGCGCACATGTCTTGTGGCAAGATATATGCACTTAAATGTTTTAAGTCATTGGCTGTTCTGCCAAATTGCCACCAACCTGCAACTTTGTGAGCTGACTGTTTCGCGATTTTTGTGTTTTAGACAACAAAAATAAAAGAAAAAGATGTACAGATCCAGGCTTTTCCTTTACTGTGGTAGTCGCATAGAATGACGTCACTGACACTGGTTTAATATGAAAACAAACTTTGCAAAAAAAAGAAAGAAGAAGAAGTGAGTCGGCGTGTCATCTTTATCGAGCACCATACATGTTTTGCCTCACATTAAAATTATTATTTTGCCTTTTCAAAAATAATTTATATTCAGAGAAGTCAAATATAGCAAATTTGTACAGCTTACACGGCCGCCAGGTGGCGCAGAACACTTGCCGGCCCCTGGCAACTTCAAGCACAGACAGGCCCTGGTTCGAGCCTCGGCTCGAACACACTCACTGAGTTCAGGTCCTATCTGTGTCTTCAGTCTGCTAGGGGGATTCCTGGTCTGCGCAGGGAATCCCAATCCTTTTTTTTTCTTTTCTTTTTTGGGCTGTTGGGGCCTGTATTTACAAAGCTGGGACTATCTCCGTTGTCATGGCTACCAAGAACAACGCCAGCTTGGGGGAGAGCGGAGAGCCGATAAGCAAACACTCATTCATCCTTTCTCCTCTTTCGTTTCACAGCTGCTGCGGTGGGAAACGCTGGCACTTGTGTGGCTATGCAGTTTTTGCATTGTTGGGAACTTTTAAGGACCAGCCTTGAATTTTACAGATTTGATAAGTGAAGCCTGGATATATAGTGAAGAGAGCTGGGATAATCTGGACAGAATCTGCAGGCTGCATCTCCAAATCACAAGTGGCTTTAGATCTGACTCTTACAGACAGGCATGCATGTCTCAGGGTGATTACACACTAACACATTGTGATTAATCACACACATTTGTATACATTTTATTAACAAGATAATAAAAAAAACACTATACAAAATGTGTTTTTGTGACAGGCCGCTAGTAACAAAGTGCTCTCAAGGTTAAATACACATACCGGTAGACATTGAGGGCTAGCAGGAGGGACCATGCGCTTACCTGCTGCTCTCTGGCAGGTAGCTCCATGCCCTCCTGGGTTTTAAATGCACCTTAGAACACACATGCATCAACACTACAATGAGCGGGTGGAGGGAGGTTTGGAGTCTTCTCTCACCCCCATTCTCTGCGACCTGCTGGAGCGGGGGGGGGCTAGGAGGAGGAGTTGGCCGTCCGACTGCGGTCTGGGGTGTGGGGCCTCCCTGCTGCTGCGGAGTCGGGGCGGTCTGCCTCCCCCCACCGCAGGGAAAAGGGTAATACCACCTGGGTCTGGGTGCAGTTCCCCCTCCAGGGGCAAGGGTACCTAGACCCGGTTTGTAGGGTACGCTTGGGGAGTGTGATCGTGTGTACAGCGTCTCTTTATGTCTGTCTCCACGTTGGTTGAGTGTGGAGTAAGTGCATATGAGAGCATGAGGGTGGGAATGGATGTTTGTATATGTGTGTGCCTGTATTTCTGTGTCTATATGTCAGGTTGGGTGTCAGGCGCCACCTCTCTGGGGACATCTCAGGCCCTCCAAGGTTTGGAGGCCTATCTCCCCCTACCACCACTTCCCCTGCCAGTGGCGGACTCCCTCAGACATCGGTGCGTTGGTGGTTCTTTGTGTCCGGGGATGGGCGTCCAGGTACACACCGGCTCACTCCTTGGCGGCCGCTTATCGGGGCCTGGAGCCTGGGGCTCGCTCGGGCCACTCACGGGCGCGTCACTGCAACTCCCCCTGGCTTCTGCTCCGCGGCTGCTGAGTGAGCCCTCATCTGGGACTCTCCTCAGCTCTTTCTGGGACAGTGGCGCGGCTGCCCCTCTGTTGGTCTTCCTTGGTCTCTTGTGTTCTGGGGGCCTCTGGATGTCTGGAGTTTTGATCTCCTCCATACCTGCTTCATGCCCTGGAGGACGGGGCTGTGGCCCCCCCACACCCTCTAGCAGATCATTACATGAAGGAACCTTTTTTTAAAAAAACAAGCGCATCCATGCTCACAGGTGTACACATGGGTGATCACACCCACAAACTACACCCTTTTTGGCTCCTACCTCAAAGCACACTGTGTTCTGTTGATCTTATGTGCTGCACAATAATGTTTAATATTTAGTATTTACTGTCATATTCCCATATATCATTGTGATGCTGTTTATTCTATTACTCTTGTTCTCTTCTGCTTGTTTTCTTTTTTCTTTCTCAGCAGGTGATCCAGGTGATCGATATATGCATTTTTTATTTCTTTTTTTTTTCTGCTCATTCTGTTGGTTTTTGTTTTTTGCCCTTCTCCCCCGTCCCTCTTCTCAGCTGTTTCTCTTTCCCTCTTTCTTTCTCCCCTTCTTTCCCCCAGTCAAGTCTGTCCCGTATTCAGCAAGTGAAAATAAAATAAACAATAAAAGGTGAATCAAATGGACCATTACGGCAAGGCTGGGATGGTCAATTTGGTAAAGTAAATCCGTTGGGCATCTTTCTTTGCCTTTAGACAACAATTCTGATGGCAAAAGAGCCAAACGGGACAGGCAAAAAAAAAAGAAAAAAAGAAAAAAAGAAGTGGCTTTAGATCTGACTCTTACAGACAGGCATGCATGTCTCAGGGTGATTACACACTAACACATTGTGATTAATCACACACATTTGTATAAATTTTATTAACAAGATTAAAAAAAAACACTATACAAAATGTGTTTTTGTGACAGGCCGCTAGTAACAAAGTGCTTAAAGATTTCAAATTGGTTCTTTCCCAAGTTTTCTGTTATGTGTACACATATTCCTTGAATTAGGTGCTTTTTAATTCTCCAATAATGGTCAGTGCAAAGTGTTTACACAAACAAACAAACAAACAAGTGTTTACACAAACAAACAAACAAAAAACATTACTCAGAAAATGGTCAGGTACAAGAACTGGATTAAAAAGGATTGGAAAAAACAGATAATGTCCAATGAAATACTTTAGCGTGTGGCTCATGACTTTTGCACAGTACTGTAAATGTTATTAATAATGAAAGATATAAAGATGTAGCTTTCCCATTTTTAAAAAATTCCCATACACATTATTCTTTTCTTCTAGTGAAGGTGCCTCCTCCTTCAGACCTTAGGATAACTAATTTCTCAGACAGTGACATCACGGTGCGCTGGGAAGCTGCAGATGATGATGATGTTTCTTACCTCATTAAGTGGATCTCCCTAAGTGGAGGCGACCTGAGGCAGGTGGGGAAGAACTATTGAGTTGTTGGAGTACATATTATGAAATAAAAAATACAATATCTCAATAAACTGTTGTCCTGTGTCTTAAGGAGTATCAGATATCACTGTCTGCACTCTATGGAGATGGAGCTCAGAGTGAAGCTGTGGCCGTACGCTATAGCACCTGTGAGTCACACATTTTAACTATATCAGCTGCTGGTGGGAGCAGGCTCTCATGGATCTTTCTGGATATTTGCAGCGGGGACATGCTGGGGTCATTTTGGAGCAGGTTAATTTGTGTGCGCCACGTGTCATAATCAGTTTTGTTGTTAGGTCTGGGAACCTTACCGGAGAAGGTACGGAGTCTAACCTGGGACTGGATGTGTTTGACATCTTGCCTTCGTACGATATGCTCTACCACGACCTTCTGAATGTCAGGTGGATTCAAATCACTTACTGAAAGGGACGCACAGGCTTAAGCAGACAAAGAAGGAAATCGGGTAAACCCTCCAGCACTCATTTCTGTGTCCATTCTGGGCTAAAAACAAAAACACCTCATAACTACCTGTGGATGCTGGCTGAGCCTCTGAAGGTTGAGTGATATGTCATTAAGCAGGTAGTCAGAGTTCTCATTGATCAGTTCCTTGAGGGAAGTGTATCCACAGGCCTTACTGATGTCCTACATGGAGCTCAGCGCCGCCTGGCTCACCAGCAGTGTCTCCTCACCAGCTTTCTCCAGCACAGGATACAGCGAGGCCATCAACAAGGCACAGAAATTGCGGCCCACTGGCTGAGCACAGCAGGCGATTCCCCCGAGTTGGATGCACAGCTGACAGATGTTGCTGTTGAGCTAATGGATCATGGATGCAGATGTTGATGATGAAGGAATCACTTGGAGAGAGCTTGTATTTGAGTTGCTGGCATCACTGTTGTATATCGAGGGGAGTCTGGATGGACCGAGCAGCTACGCAAAGAGACAAAACCTGTGTTAAAGCACTGCTTTCTAACCACTTTTACACATGCACTGCAGCTCTGAAGTTTTCAAGATATTGTCCATGCACGTGAGAACGCAAATGTCTGACACAGTTAGATCAAACATTAAACAGCCTTTAGCCTTCCTGCTCCTGAGTGAAAGCCTGTATTATATCTGACTGTGCTCATGTGGGGATAAGACAGATTAGCCTTTTCTCAAAGTGAAGAGTGGGGGCCAATTTAGGATCTTCACTCAAATTTAAAATACAAGGGAAACTGATGTATTTCCTTAAATAAACAAAAACCACACAAGCGCTTATAAAATGCTCATCCTACCCAGTCATATGCAAAGTGTTAGAATCAACGTGTGATCCACCTGCCACTAAGAGATATTATTTCTCTTTGGTAGATGGAAAAAATGGAATCAAACTCACTGTCAGTAGCTACAACAGCACATTTGTTATAATATGATGAATCAAGCATTTAGATATTAAATAGTATTGAGGGAGACAGGATCAAATACAGTGGGGCAAAAAAGTATTTAGTCAGCCACCATTTGTGCACGTTCTCCCACTTAAAAATATGAGAGAGGCCTGTCATTTTCATCATAGGTATACCTCTAACTTGTCCGAGTTTTAAAGAACTGATTTGCAAATTATGGTGGAAAAGAAGTATTTGGTCACCTCATTTTTTGCCCCACTGCGTAATATACAAAGATATTTGTGGCAACTCGATGTGCTTTGTCCACTTTTATTATCGGATTGCTCTGTTAACCAAAGGGAATACCTCAGTTTATTGTATGTTT